AGTTTCTACGCTAATGGTGACATATGACAGACTTCTCTGAGCTCCGCAGCCATTACACTTTTCACCTCGCGCACCCCCTAGCGGCAGCTCGCGCACCCCCTGGGGGTGCGCGCACCACACTTTGGGAATAGGGCATGTTGTGATCTGTGGGGGAAACCGGAGTACCCGGAGGAAACCCAAGCATTCATGGGGAGGACACGCAACTCCACGCAGAAAGGCCGCAGCTGAGTTTCGAACCTGCGACCTTCGTGCTGCGAGGCAACAGTGCTAACCACTGCGCCACCATGCAGCCCAGTACTTGAATGTTAACCGCCCAGTAGTAATACAAAAAGTTAGGGAGTGCCATTCCTCCCATTGAGCGAGGTCTCTGAAGTACACTTCTTTTTATCCGGGGCGGTTTTTTGTTCCAAATGTAATTTGATATCATATTATTTAATTTGGTAAAGAAAGACTTAGTTAAAAAGATGGGAAGGCACTGAAATATATATAAAAACTTGGGCAGTATATTCATTTTTACCGTATTAATTCTTCCCCCCAGAGATAGAGGCAGGGGATCCCATCATTCGATATCCTGATTTAAGTTTGATAACAGGGGCTGGTAGTTAGCAGCATAAAGATCTTTGTTTATCTGTGACCCATATTCTGAGAAATTTGAATTTTTTGGGGCTGATTTTAAAGGGGAGTGAATTTAAGTAAGTATCATCATTGCTAGTGCCAACAGGCATCAGCTCACTTTTTTGAACGTTGGCTTTGTAGCCGGATAGTTTGCCAAATTCTTTTAGTAGGACCATTAGCTTAGGAAGACTTAAAATTGGATGTGATATGTATAGTAACATGTCGTCTGCATAAAGTGAGACTTTGTGCTCTTCCCCCGCTCGGTGAATTCCTTTGATATCTGTATTTTGTCTCAGAGCTAAAGCTAACCGCAAAAAGGAGCAGTGACATGGGGCATCCCTGTCTTGTACCACACTTAAGTTCAAAGAAAGGGGACAAATCATTATTTGTATGCACAGCAGCCAACGGAGAAGTATACAAAAGTCTGATCCATGATATGAATTTATATCCAAATCCAAACCTCTCTAGAGTGCTGAAAAGATAGCCCCACTCCACCCGGTCGAACGCCTTTTCAGCTTCGAGTGAGAGGACGACCTCCAGCACATCTGGTGGAGGGGGGCTATACAGGATGTTAAAAAGGCGTCTGACGTTGAAAAAAAGAGTAACGATTCTTTATAAAGCCTGTTTGGTCAGGCGATATAATGGAGGGAAGAGCATCTTCTAGTCGACGTGCCAAAACCTTGGCAAGATTTTTGCGTCTGTGTATCTGTACACACTGAACCTTGCTCATCATTGATTGAGGGTATAGTCTGATTGGCGGTTCTTTGTCGTAGCTGATATGCGAGAATCCGTCCAATTTTTTCCTCATGTTCATAGCATCCGTGTCTAGATTTAGATAGGAGATATTCTGCCTGCTGCGTTGATAGGATATCAAATTTGGTCGACAAAGACAAACGCTTTTTCACTAGATCAGGAGATGGTTGATGGCTATGTAACATATCTAGTTCCAGTATTTGATCCGTTAGTTCTTTAAGGCGCACAGTGTTTGTTTTCTTCTTATATGCGCAGTAAGAGATGATTTGTCCATGCAGATAGGCTTTTAAAGAGTCCCATAGAGTTGAATATGATATTCCTGGAGTTTGATTAGTGTCAAGAAAAAATTGTATTTCAGATTAAATGAAATTAGTAAAAGACTCTTCTGATAAGAGGAGAGGATTGAGTCTCCTAGGGCGGTAACTATTTTGTGTATTAGAAATACGGATTTTCATGGCTAGTGGACAATGATCTGAAATGACTATGGCATCATAATCACACTTAGTTACCAAAGACAAAAGTCTTTTATCCAGGTAAAAAGCATCTATTCGAGAGTAACTCTTATGCACTGGGGAGAAAAAGGAGTATGTTCTAGCAGTTGAGTTACAAAATCGCCAGAGATCCACTACACCATATGTTTTAAGAAAAAGCTGGATTGTGTGTGCCGATTTAGACAAGGGCGCCTTTCTGGAGGAACTACGATCTAGGGTAGGGGAAGTACACAATTTATATCGCCACCAAGTATAAGATGGTGTGAAACCATGTTTGGTAGACGAGAAAGAACATTTGAGAAGAATTCAGGGTTGTCCCAGTTTGGTGCACAAATATTGGCCAGAATGACCGGGAGTGAAAAAAGTTGCCCTGTCAAAATAATATAGCGCCCTGCAGAGTCAGAATCGACATTAGTTATTGTAAATGGTATATTTTTATCAATGAGGATGGCTGCCCCCCTAGCCTTTGCGTGGAACTTAGAATGATAAATGTGCCCTGACCATTCACTTTTTATTCAAAACAGGTCTGCTATGCGCAAATGTGTCTCCTGAAGAAACACAATATCAGTCTTAAGTTGTTTTAAGTGTGTAAATACCTTTTTCCTCTTAACTGGATGATTAAGTGACTTCACGTTCCAACTCACAAAGTTCACCGATGAGAGTCCCCCCAGCACTCTAGTAGAATTAGGGTCAGTCATGAACTACTGAGTAAGAAATTTAGTGCACATGAAATTTACATCTGGCTGAGCAAATAGATAGGAGAAAAGACATATATAAAGTAAATCCAAGAGATAAACAAGTTTGTTATAATTCCACCCCCCCCCCCCCCCCCAGTGCCTGGAAGAACGAGGCAAATATGGTCCCCCTCAAAAACACATCCACACATATGTGTTTGTGTTGGGGAACTCTGCACAGATAACTGTTCAGGCCCCCCGTCGAACGATTCATGAAAACCAATTCAGCTCCTTGTTATTATGGTGTTACAGCATCTGCTATGCGTTGAAATAAAAAATATAGAATAAAAAACGGTGTAATCAACAGAAATATATGTCATAAGACGGACCCTTTCTCTATAAGGCAACCTTTTAAGAAAAACAAAGAGCTATTGGGCTACAGTAAACTTATGAATGCGGGTGATCAACACTGACAAGGGGAGCAAAGAAAAAACATTAACAGCTTCAACTGGTGAAACTTAACATTCGAACAACAGTGACCTTAGTCCACTGACTGCAGCCATTTTAAACAAATAAAGTACTGTCAAAACAGTTGAAAACACAAGAACAGTCTCACTCACGCTCCTCTGCGGGAATTATGTGGTTCCTCGCATAGGTCATCGCTTTATCTGCATCGGTGAATTCCTTTTCTTCCCCGTTGTGTGTAACACGAAAGCGGGCTGGGAATAGTATGCCAAACAGGACATTCTTCCGATTACGGAGCAACTTTCTAATCTCAGTGAACGCAGCTCTGGCTTTGGCGACTCTTGTAGTATAAGCCAGGAAGATAGCTATTGACTCTCCGTTGTACCGAAGTAGGGCACGGACACGCGCCCAGTTCAGTACCTCAGCACAGTCTTGGAAATAGTGAAGTTTGGCCACAATCGCTCGTGGTTTCCCGCCGGGTTTCCTTGGAGCCAGACTTCTGTGTGCTCGATCAATGAGCACATCTTTGTCCAGCTGCAGCGCCTCTCGTCGCAGCTTTGAAACCTCTGTCGTGGAGTTTGAACCAGACGTCTCAGGCACTCCCAGTATCCTGATGTTACACCGACGCGCTCTTCCCTCCATGTCCTCGCATTTGTCTCGGAGCTCTGCCACCTCCGTCCTCAGGGTGTTCACTGTGGTCTGTAAAGTCACCACCTCATCTGACCATGCTGACAATCCGGTCTCCATGTCTCAGACTGTGGTTCTTACTTGGTCAATCTCAGAGTGAACTACTGCCATGCTGTTTTTAACTTCTGCCTTCAACGCCTGTAGCTCGTTTTTAAGGAAGTTTAAGTTGTCGGCCAGTGCGTTCTTCATTTCTGATTTTATCACCGCTGAAATTTCAGTTTTCAGCGAGAGCAGAATCTCCGACTTCAGGGACTTGGCGTCCATCTCTGATTTAACGTTAGCTGACCGTAGCTGTGGTGGAGATGCTCTTGCCGCGGTGCTGGTAGCAGTGTGGCTCCCGGCGGTGTTGGGCCTCGTGTTCGCTGCTCCAGTGTATTGAAATTTAGGCAGATTCGTCGCCATTCACTCAAATTTCTCTAAGCTCTGGAAATGTTTTCAGAACAGATTAGTCGATTGTTAAATATATTGTGCGCATATTAATTTAAAATAAAGAAATAACGAAAGAAGTTCGACGGGAGCTCAAACAAACACATCTCACTCCATCGCCAGCTCAACAGCGCCCCCCGAAACTACCTTTTTAACCAACGAGCGTGGACTGTTTGGCAGCACCACACCTGAGCCTATGTAGGGGAAACACAGTAAGCGCTCCCTACGTTAAACACTCGAGCGCCAACACCAGACATAACATTGTATTTACCTACTTATCAACTTACTGTATATGACTCGTCTTTGTCATCTAGAATTTTCTGGTGCTGACCCATAGCAACAGCCATGAAACACGTGGAAAGGGAGTGAGAGTGATTTCATTGCTTGGGCAAATGCACTGTTATCCAATTTGACCACAGGGCGCCATTCTTGCATATTACACCTTTAAGTAATCTGCAGCACTTAAAAATTAATGAGTGTTAATTACACAATAATTAAGGGTGGGAAAGATACCAAACAGACCTGTTTCTTGCCAAATATTGAGCTAAATCTTTTCCTCTGTATAATGAATCTAGAGTTGCTATAATGAACATTTCAGACTAACACCTTGTATTCCTTGTATTGTTATACATTCTGTGCTTCAGGATGCTGGAGAAATGACAATAAAGTAGATTCAGATTTTGATTCTGATTACCACATTGAGCATTTGTGAAACATACTTTTTTCATTATAAATATCCACAAATACAATGTATGAATTGTTTACAGTTATTACGAACATGTACTAGTAAACTAAAACTATACATAAAAAATGTATTAGTAAGGTACTGTTTGTGCTTCCAGGAAAAGCGGATCAGTTTTCATCCTTTGTTTTTGTCATTTTTCCCCAGCGTGATCGGCGCAGACGCAGGGAACGGCATCCGGGTGTTCATCCCCGACATCGGCATGTTCGTGGCCGGCCTGGCCATCTGGCTGGTGTGTCGCAGTCTGGTCCAGAAGAGGCCACCTGAGGACATGGCCCTGGACAACGCAGACTTCGAGGCAGAGGAAGAAGTGGGTCTCATTTGTGCTGAGGTGTCCGACTCATGAAACAGCGTTTGGGAAGTCATGCAACAGTTACTAATGCGGTACATAAAGCAAAAACATGAGCGCCATTAAACAGCATCTATGGATACATGACATAAAACTTTATGATTCCTTTAAGTCGTAGAAGAAGAAAACCGCCTGTGTTTTGTATTTTTCTTTGATAAATTTAGATTTTCACTAAAATCAAGTATCAGTTTTCTTAACCTGAAGAGGTTGTGCCCTCCTGTTGCTGCCTTGTTAATTTTATATAAAAATAACTTAAAATCACCAAAATTGTGCTTCTATAATGTTTAACTTAACTGGCGTTAAGCACATTGAAGGGTGCTTGGCTAAATTATTTCATTCAAACACGTCTTCAAAAAGCAACCTGGCAACATTTATTATTTTTAAATGTAAAATCATGGCTTAGATGATGTTTATAAACTGTTTTGTGTGATTATATCTTTTATCACCTCATTATATTTAGCATGCATTTTCAGAAACAATAACTTTGCATAAAAACTATTGAGAAAACTACAAAAAGGGTTAAATTTTAAATCTGGACCATATAAAGCGAAACAAGTGAAGCTTGTGAAGGTGTGGGCTAAAGTGTGCATCGTTATAAAACATCTGGAAATCTGCATTTAAGGAGACATTTATTTGTACTGAACTCAAGAGAAGAATAAACACGAGGAGGAAACGTTTCAGTCTGTTTGGCCACAAAAACCTGAAGTAAACATTCAGATTCAAACTCGCTCGAGATTTAAGGACGTAGGCGTCTGCTAAACAGTCTTCAAAGGTGTTTGCTTTTTATCCCAAACATGCAATTTCCACAAGATGGTTTTTCCGAATATTTTTGTGTCAAAATAAAAGAAAATACGTAAAATTAAACAAATATAGAGGAATAAAGATAAAAAAATTGCAATGTAACCTCACATAAATATACCATTTCTTCAGCTTGAACACAATGATGTTATTTTTCTGTTGACTTTGCGTTGCAGCTGTAGATTTAATGCACATCGATGAGTATTACTTGTGCCATTGACTCTTCTCATTATTGACTCGGTAGTAAACTAGGTCATGCCCTCTTGTTGCCGCTCCTTACCCCCAAATTCCACTACCTCCGCTCCGCTGCGACACGAACGCCGGAGCAAAATCGGTCCCGTTGTAGTCAATCAGAGCAATTCCACTACTGAGGCCGTGCTCCGGCAGTGCGGCGCCGTGCGCCGCCCTCTGTTCCGGCGTCCGGCAAAAATAGAATCGATCCTATTTTCGCCGGACGCCGGAGCACCTCCGCAGTAAATGGACAGAAATCACAACTGCCCAACAGGAAAAGGAGCAAGCATAACTTCCGTTTTTCACAATAAATCGATAAACAAAATGCTTTTTTTGTTTCATATGCACAGGTTTAACAACTTTTAACAACTATCAATGGCGGCTGAAGTTTAAATGCACAAAAGTAAGCCATAAATACAGTTTCTACTATCAAAGTAGTCACACTTTGTTGATCCAAACACTGCTGATCTCTCAACACAAATGATGGGCAGATTAAACAGTTCATGCCGATGCTTCTCCCACACAACGGGTGTTTAGATCTACCTTCCGCGTTTATTGCTCGGACTGTATCGCAAGATCTCGAAAATCCCGCTCATGCTTGTTTGCCCACCTCAGGTCTCCGCACCGGAGCGGAGCCGTTGTAGAGCGTGTACCAGTAAAAATTGAGTTCGGAAGCGAGCGGCTGCGGAAGGCGGGGGCGGACCGTAGCGGAGGTAGTGGAATTTGGGGGTTAATATTTTCACACTCTTTTATTATTTGCACCTCTGAAGTCAGCCATTTTTAACAATATCTCCTCAACACAATTTGTAGACTAACAAAATCTAAATAATTTAAAAATAAAATAATTTTTATTATTACTCCCTGTTTCTCTACAAACATATTTATTTAGGCAGATTTTATGCCACACTGTGAATTATAAAAGAAGAAGAAATGATTTTGTAGAGTTATCTGCATACTGAAAACAGCTCTGTTGCTATTCAGTGGAGATTCCCAAAATGACCGATCCAATTAACCTATGAAGCTTATATCATCTATATAAATATCCCGGATACTCATATATCGATCTAAGTTCATACATCAACCTGTTTGATCTAATTTAATCCAAAGATTAATGTTTAATTTAGATAATTAAATTTAATAGCAAAAGTTATTTTGAATCAGAAGCTAGGATCTTTGCTGTCAGTTAACCAGAAATATTATACCTTTTCTGTGTTTCGTTTCAATAATGAGGCAAGTCTAAAAATGAAGAAATTTTATTACTAACAATTTTAAACTTAAAGATTTGAAACGACAATTATAAAATGACAATTCATGGATGGCAATTTAAATGACAATTTTTAACAGCTTTGATATAAAACTTGTTTAAAAGCAAACCCCTGTGTTGGACGGAAAACTAATTTGAGAATGGTGAGTTTGGATGCGTGAATGAAGTTCTCAGAGCTTTCTTTCAGAGAGAGAGAGAGAGTAGTTCTGGGTGAAGCGTTGGTTTGCAGCTAACCTTGGATTCTTGGATATAAATAAACGCATACAGACGCCTTCTGTGTTCCACCTCACCTATTAGTCGACCCTCTGGTTGGATCCGGAGGTCTGGGGAGCTGTCAGCTTGGGGCACTCTGGTCCGGCAGATGACAAAGTTACCGACACTCTGGTCCAAGAGTTGACGTCAGGTGCACAGGAAAAATTGGTTTTGCGTCCAGGCAGATTCTTAAGGAATCTCTTAGCGTTAGCTGGTTCTTAGGCTTTCTTAGCGTTAGCTGCAGTTACAGGTGCGTTCATTCGAGGCTATCCTGTCGACGTGACAGAACAGCTGTGTTGAGGCTGGGCGGCCAACCCTAATCCTCGGGATGCTCTCGTCGCCACGAAAAGCATCAGCTTGGTTCAAGAACTGACTCTAAGCTGCAAAAGCTCTTGATTTTCACAAAAACCTCAGAACACGCCCCTCTCCTGATAGGAAGCTGGAAATGTGGGTCAATGTGAAGCATTTACCTTGAAGTGAATCCTGCATGAGCTGGACACGTGCAAAGGCATCTTCTGGTTACTGAATAAACATTACTGATTATCATAAATAATAATTATTATCATCCAAAGGTTAATAAGTCATTTCATTAATTAAAATATATTTAATATGAAAAGGATGATTATTTATGATGATTATTATAAACCTTAATAATAATAAGCTTTTATTAAGTTATTTGATAATAGTTGAAGATGTCCCTCATCTTGGCATGGACACAGATAAACAGTCAGGCTGATGATTATTCTTCAGACACTCCGGCTCCTGATGGCTTTTTTCTGTGGATAAAGGTTATATCTTGACCCAGCTGTGACCTAGCTGGAACGTGAACTTTGTCCCAGAAAGACGGTCATCCATAACGCTACAGTCTCCCCTTTCACAATGGACAGTGGCAGAAGGAAACCACTTGACATTGTGCAATCATCGACATGATGGACTCTTGAAGGAAGAAGGAAGACTGTTCAATGTTCCAGATGAAGGCAGGAGTGAGGAAGCATTTCCCCACGCCAGTGAAGACAGGATCCCATGCTGAGAAGTTGGTTAAGTCAAATAGCTTTTGATCATTGTAAAGTAATCCACGTGAAGGTATCTATTTCAATAGCAGTTAATTATCATAAGTAGTAATTTCCACAGCGTATGCAAAAGGATAAAGGTAGCAGCGCTGTGTTCCCACACAGCGCAGAGCAGGATGTAGGATGCAGGATTATAAAGTGCCTCTCAAGATAAAAATCACGAGGACAAAAAAATTATAAACAGATTAAAATAAATATTTAAATACAAGAGGAAATCAGATCTATTACATTACTACCCATATTTATAGACAGTTATTAGAATAAATGACTTCCTTTAAAACAATTAGGTATCATGGTGCACCCTAATGTCTAAAAAGAGCAACTCATAAAAAATAGAATAAATAAAATTTTAGATACATTTTTCCTAAAATTTCCCCCCAAAAACTTTGTTTTTGCTGTAGTTGGCCTCAGATAGGTTAGGAATTGTTGATTTTTCTTGAGGATTTGGAGTGAAGTTGGACAGAAAGTCAGAAAATTGCTCTTACAAAATAAAATCACTCACTTGTCAACATATTTTAGTAAAAACTCAGAGCTTTTGATCTATTTCTGCTTCTGCAGTGCTGATCCGTATGCTCAACCCGGTCCAAACTTTAGCTGCACAAACAACACTTTTTTCAAAACTGCTGGAAACTCCTCATTTTGATGCATTTTCCTGATTAAAAAAGCACATTTAAATGCATCACTTGAAGGTTCACATTTCAAGCAAACAGCACCTGCTTTTATTCAGCCATAAAAACACTAACTGTCTCTTTTCCTGCTGGATCTTCTGTCCTCACCAACTACAAACAACCAAAGTTTTGAGTAGAGAAACTTGTGAGAGTTGATGATTTGGAAAACGGCCTCCATCCTCTGCCAAGTCCTGCCTTCCCTTTATGACTCGGTCTTAATTAAATCCACATTTTGCTTCGAGTGCTTCGGCGGGCACAGATGGTTAAGCTCCCTCGTTGGTGGAAAACACCAGAGATGAATTTACACAGCCTGATGTGTCGACTGAGAAAAGAATACAAACATCCTGTTTTTCTGGATGTTTGGTGTTTAATGCGTCCTGTTGAACAGCTGACTTATTATGTTCCTCTGTTTACTGAGCTTGTAAGAGAAGAGGGACAAACTGCTTAGGAATAGCAGCCAATAAAAGCACCTAACCAGAAATATGGTCAGGTATGTAGAAAATGAGCTCCTAGAGCACAGAAGCTACCTGTAGGAGACAGCGTTCAGCACCATGGAGAGCGCTGACCCCCTCTCATTAACACTTTGTGTCTCTGTGATCCACCTGTGAGGATGAGGAGGAGAAACCCAGCCTTGATGACGACGACATTCTGCTGGAGGAGGACCTGGAGGCTGGCTACGAGGCAGAGGAGGACGAAGACAACGAGGAGCTTTATGGAGACGAGGAGGAAGAGTACGAGGAAGAAGAGGAGGAGGCGAGAGAGAGTACAAAGATGAAGATTCTGCGAATGGTGGCGGAGGTGGCTTCCAAAGTGAAGGAGGTCATCGGGAACTTGATCACCACAGCGGGGAAGGTGGTGGTCACTGTACTGTTGGGCATGACAGGTGAGGTTTTCAGGATTTAATGTGTAGTTTATACCTTTAATATCTGGGAATCCATTGAAATGATGAAAAAGATTGAAATGATGCCCAGATGTTAAAAAATATTGGCGGCTTTGTAACATATAACCATAAAAATCTGGTCTAAAATACACGGGAGCAGGTCTAAGTCTCTGGGCAACGCCATATTAGATGCCATGTTTCCTTCTACGGGAGCCTGTGAGGACAAAACACATTTACTGATTTGTAACAAGCAGTTACAAAGCTTTCACCATTCAGAACCGTTGTTGTTTTACACGTTTACCTCTTCACTTGTTCCCAGTGATGAGAGGGAGTCTGATGTGTTTGTCATTTTGCTGGAGGTTGAACAATCTGACAAAGTACTCGTTCGAAAATTGCACTTCCAGGGATTTTTGACCCTAATGGCCATCCGTTGGTAAAGTCTTACTAGAACAACAATTTAGATTTAGATTTAGGTTTGTACTGCCCCCTGTCGTCAGGGCAAATACACACCGTCATTTTCAGGGGTAAATATCACACTTCATCATTCTGAAATTCAGTTTCCTCAAACTAAACAATAAGTTGAACAAACGGAATGTTGGATGGATTATTTTAAAGTTTATCATCCATTTTATAGCTCAGGAAGCTCCTCTCAGCACTTTTACTGTCCCGGCCTGGCTGTGAGCTGCTTCTTCAGCGAGAGAAGCTTTTATTTTATTTGTTTCCATCTTATACCAGCTCTCTGTTCAGCTGAAAACTTTTTTAAGAGCTTTCCATTAAGCTCCAAGTGGATCAAAGGTCATCTTGGATTTAATGATTTTTCCTGATAGTATTTCAGCCTCAAATCAAAAACTCTTTTGCAAAGTTTATTTAGTGACTTTATTGTCTATAATAGTCCAAATGTGTGTAGAAAATGCTTTCATTAGAGATTTACTAAATTTTAAACAGCGTTGTAAAGGTACTGTGTAAAAATACCTTATTTACTTATGTAGCTAAGTCTTTGTTTGCTCTCTAGTGACACGTTTCTTCTCAAATATCTTTAAATAGACTTTTTAAACTGATAGATATGTGTAACACTCTGACTCCATCAGATAATCATGCATGTCAAAAGTGCAGCTCGGGGGCCTTTTGTGGCCCTCAGAGGTATTTTGAGTGGCCCCTGGTGCTATTTCTAGAGTTAGGGTTAAATATATCACAATAAAACAATTTTATCACTTTTAAAAATAAGGTTCTGGACCCCTTGGGCTAAATGACTTACCAGGAAGAAACTTGAAGAATAATGGATACAATTTTGTGAAAAAAAGACTCACATCTGTGCAGAGGTGCTGACCAGGGAAGATGTATAGGACGTCTAAACTGACATGATAACCCACATCTTTAGCTAACTGGATATAAATGTTGAAGATTAGCAGAAATAACCCGAGAAGACTGACTTTTGGGGAGGGGTGAGATCTGCTGTCTGAATTTAACCTCGTGTCTCTATTTGCTGTTATGTTTTATTTACAGGGATCATGCTGCCCTCGCTGACCTCTTTTGTTTACTTCTCCATCTTCCTGTTCCTGTGCACCTGGTGGTCTCTCCGCCGGACCTTCAACACGCTCATCTTCAGCTGCATGTGCGTCCTGATGGCCATCTTCAGCGCTGGCCATCTCATAGTCCTCTACCTGTACCAGTTCCAGTTCTTTCAGGATTCCATCCATCCAGAGGACAGCTACATCAGGTCAGACTCCAGGGGCCTCATTCATCAACCATACTTACGCACAAATTTGTGCGTATTTGTAGGAACAAATGCATGCATATGTGTAGTATTCTTCTCAGACCAGGAGTACGAACAGCGTCTAGTGGTAAAACGGAGGTAACCGCAACACTGAAGGTCTCAGTCGTCCACGAGTGTTCCTCATCCACAAATGATTTTAACCAATAATAATAGTTTTGGTGGAAAAACAGCTGTGTCTCTTTAAAGGCGCTAAAACACCCGTGACCGGCGGGAATCTGACATTGTAGAATGGATGATTTAGTGTTATTTTGTAATCACAATTTTTACTCTTCCCATTTTATGTTTTTAATCATTTTTAATTGAATTATTATTTTTAATTAATTAAATTTAATTATACTTTTGTCCATGTGAAGCGCTTTGTGGTTTAGCTTCAGATGTGATATATGAAAGATAGTTTCTTATACATATGCATGTACGAGAACCCCCCCAGAGCCTCCTCTGCTCCCCAATCATGCATGCGTTGCCAAGGCAACCAGACTGAATGACAGCTCAGAAGAGGCTGCACTCTCAGACAACGTTTCGAAATAGAACTAACTCCAACAAGAACTTCTCCTTAAACATAAAATGTAAATGACCCCCGTTATCTGTCCCGACCACGTTAACAACTTCTGCAACTTGTTTGGTTCTTTTGCACTTTGGTAGCTGGTACTTCCATCTCGCAACAAAGCTTTCTTTGTTTCTTTTCTTCGTGTAGAACGCAGGGAACCCTCTAATGAGCTGAGGATGTAGTGTGACCAAATATGGTTAATTGAAGGCGTTTCTGTAAATGACTGAAACAGACACGAGCATCTGGGTATGCCAAGCCCCCACAATGCCGCTCAGAAAATGGTCCCATCCCGGAAGTAAGAAAAATTGCAGTTCCACCCTCATCCGCTGGAGGCTGGTGCCAGAAGCGAGCAAATCCTCATTGACTCCCATGTTAAAAATGCCGATTTCACAGCAGAAATAAACATGTTTACAGCCTGGTGCCAAAACATGTTTTTTGTCTAAATTATCTAGTTTATACTCATGACAACTCTGAGGGGGGTGAATTTTTTTCTCACTCTTCTGTTTAAGTGTATTGAAAGCCTAAAATTCTGTATAATTAATGAGCATCCGACACACGTGACCGCCGCCTCAGACCCACGTGACCACAGAGCTAGCTCCGTGGAAAGGCCTCAGTACAGCCTCGGTCTGGCTTGGAAACTGCTCCGGCATTTTGAGTCTCTGTGTTTGTGTATTCTTCTTTGGATATTATTGGTGCAATTGTTGGACAAAATGACTTGCAGTGGTATTAATTGCACTAATAGAGCGTCCAAGGAGTCTCCACTTCATTTTTTTCGGTAAGTTAAAATCTATATTCGTATTTTATGTCACTGCCACCTTTAAACTAGCTGAGTTTACCGAAGTAGCTAGCTAACTATCAGTTTAACATGTAGCATGTACTGTTTAACCATGAAATTTAAATGTAAAATACGGTAAAATAATTAATAGGGCATATTTAGATGGGTAATAGGGTAAAACCCAGTGCATTTAAGATAAAAATGGGTTGAAATATGACGGAGCGCTAAGAGGGAGACTTCTGTGTCCATTCTTCCATCCGGTAATCCCCAGCGGTCAGGCCGGGCAGCCTGACCGATCCGGCGCCTACTTGCTGCGCCTAGCTGCTGCGCGGTCTGACCGCTCGTGGAGTTTTTCATGTCTGACTAACCGCATCTAATACTGTATTACGGCGTGAGCGCAACAGCGACAACTTAATATCGATGTGTAAGCAGCCTGAGTGGTAGGGTGTTTTCATCTGAACCCTTAAAACCTCCAGCAGGCTATGCTGCACTATTGACGTGTTAGCGCGCGGCGCTAACAACTTAGCAACGTGACATGTCTCTGAGAAAGCGTAAAACACGGACGCTTCTTCTGAAGCGGAAAATAACACCTCTTCTTAAGCAGAGCAGGATGTCGCCTCGGCTCGTTCACGGCCGAGCCGGACTGAGCTCGATAACATTGACCAAGCACAGCCACTGGGCCGTTGTAGCTGCCACCAGGCCTGCTGAAGGAACTCCAGCGGGTTCATCAGACTCGTAAAGTTTCTTGTTTTTGCTGGGGATTTCTGTATTTTACCGCTCCCTCCTGCAGTCTTCCCCTATTAAAATTTAAAATGTGTAACTTTATGTATTGTGATGAATGACTAATATTCATGTAAAACTAAAACGTTAGGCATTTAGGGGGAAAAAACAAAATAATAAACATTATACAGATGTCAAATAAATCAAACTGTAATTAAACTATATATTTTCAAAGTCATATAGACAGCATGATGGTTTGTGTGATCCGCGCGGTTTCACTTACACCCCTTTAATGATCAGGCTGTTTTTTATTATTTTTATCAGCTGATAGCAGTTAAAATTATGGTAAAAAATACTTTTATCTGTTTTTGATAACTTAATGCCCAGGAAGAGCATCTTCCTGGGCATTAAATATAACCCAAATGTTTTATTATGAGCAGATCTGATGAAGGTGTAGACAAGCAGTCTGCAAAGTAAAACTTGTTTAGAGTCCAAACTCTTACTAAAGCTTTTAAAAAGAAAAAATGGTTGAATTTTGAGAAATATCCACAACAGGGGAGCGAGACCTCTGAAAAATGTATATTTTCTCTGAATTCATAGAATAATGTGAAGATTCTGGGAAAAGTTGGGATTCTGAGATTAAAACGTAAATCTTTCTAATCATAATTCTGGCAGTTTTTGTGTCCTTCTGCTGTGGAAAGTCGTGCAACATGAAGATACTGAGAAGATGCTTACAACCTGTATTTTTATTCCATCCATAAATAAAATCATGAGCTATTTTTTTAATCCAAATTTGATACAAAGGGCCATCGTTGGTTCCAGACCCGTTCTAGAACATTCCTCTAATCTTAAAGTCATCATCAGTTTCTTCCTTTTAACAAATATTTATTTGTTCAAATATTTAATATTTATAACTGGAATATTTGTTCCTCCCTTTCCCACTGCAGTTAGTCCTGTCCTGCAACCCTGTTTTTGCAGCTTAGTGAAGCCAACCATCACTAACCTGGGGGTGGTTTTGGACCCAGAGATGCGGATGGACTCCCACATTAGCCAGGTGGTTAGATCCTGCTTTTCCCGGCTTCGCCAGCTACCAAAGATGAAGTCCATCCTGAAAGACGTGTCATATTTTCTCCCCAAGCTGGACCTGACCGTCATGTATCGGTCCAAAATAGTGTGATGATATTGTTTTTTGTACATAACAGACTTTTTAACAGACAAATTTGTCGCATTCTCCTACACCTCTTCACGGGCTCGCCACAGTAAATATTCTATTTGGCAAGAGATAAACTTTATTGTATTTATCCTAGTGAATCTATAATTAAACGGGTAAACTAGTATTAGCACGTCCAACATCAAAGAAAGTAAAATGTTACTATCAGGAGAGGGAGAATGTTTAAGTGGTTAGCAGCAGTGTGCTAGCCGATGGCCCCCTCCATGAGGCCACCACAGCTCAGCAGAACATCGTTGTAGCTTCTTCTGGGGAGAAAAACACTTGGAGAAAAAATAAAGTTAACAGCTGAAATAGCAGGAAATAATACAGTTAAAGAGCAGATTGTAGAAGAAAGAAACCCCTGGGTTAAACTGGTCTGTCTACTGCATAATGCTGAACTCTAACATGTGTCCTCAGGGAAGGACCTGATTGGTGTCCAGAACCTGTTGAAGAAGCACCAGGCTCTGCAGGCTGAGATCACAGGTCATGAACCTCGCATCAAGGCTGTCACCCAGAAAGGAGAGACCATGGTGGAGGAAGGTAGAGCAGGTCTGGTCCTGACATGTTTCTGAGGTGTCTGCAGGTTCTGGCTCACTTTTTTTGGGTCCAGGTCACTTCGCTGGTGAGGAGGTGAAGACTAAGCTGTCAGAGCTTCATGGACGTTGGGACACGCTAAAGGCCAAGGCGTCCCAGAGGAGGCAGGACCTGGAGGACTCTCTGCAGGCCCAGCAGTACTTTGCGGATGCTAATGAGGCCGAGTCCTGGATGAGGGAGAAGGAGCCCATCGTTGGAAGTCCAGACTAAGGGAAAGACGAGGACTTGGCCGAGGTATGGAAGTCCCTTCCTGAGAAACTCCAATCGCTTTTCTTTGCTCTCTTTCCAGTCCTTCATAATTAGTGTTTCTGTATTTGTCATTTCCTTCGGTTGTCTACCAGACGTCGTTGCTCGTTTGAGCGTCTCATGGGTTAGGGGTAGAAGTGCTGGCCTCGCACAGGAAGTGATGACAAACGTGTTCCCGTCGCTCTTATTTCAAACGGTTTACAAGCTGTGATGTGTGTTCCCGCTGCAGAGCAGCCATGACACGTGGCAGCCGGCAGAAGGCTCACGCTTTTCCACTAAACACCCGCAGAGCTGCGTCTGCGGTGAACTGAGCAGGGTTTGTTTTACGGTGGCGGATCCGATTGGACCATCGCTGCGAGAAAGCTCCACTTGTGTCAGAAGAGCTGAAGGTTCTGATGTTCTGCTCCACAGGCTCTCCTGAAGAAGCACGAGGCCCTGATGTCGGACCTGTCGGCTTATGGCAGCAGCATCCAGGCCCTGAAGGAGCAGGCCCAGTCCTGCAGGGTGAGTTCAGAGCCCTCGGCCCGTCAGAACATTCTTATCCACCACGTTCTAACACCAGACCTGTTAACCCGACAGCAACAAGATAATCAGCAGGTGCTTTTGTCCTGCAGGACCTGAAGGCCAACGAGTCCCGCCTGAGGGACATCAACAAGGTGGCATCTGAACTGGAGTCAGAAGGTCTGATGGCTGAGGAGGCTCCTATGGTTCAGGCTCAGGTGAGCGTCACCTGTCTGCAGCAGCTGGTCCCTCTCACTTCCTGGTTTGTTAACTCTGCTCGTCTCTGTTTGTAGCCACAAGAACATCTGGGTTCTGCTCCTGGAAAGGTGCATGTTGTCCTCCGCCTCAACCAGAACCAGACGTGGTGTTTATGTTACCACTCATTTGTTTGTTTGTTTGTTTGTTTACAGGACGAAGCCGACTCTTAACACGGCGTCACCCTGGAAGGTGAGTTCATTCAGCTGATCAGAGGTCACCTCTGATGGCAGCAGTCACGGCCGACCGTGCTGACATCACACAGGAATTCAGGTGACCCGGCAGGCACCAGGTGCTGGTGAAAGTGGGGACATGTCAGCTGGTTGCCATGGCTACAGTTATCTTTATGCATCTGTATGACTGCTGACTGGTGTGTGTTTCCTGTGACCTTTGACCTCAGACCGTACGGTTGGGCGTTCAGACGACGGCTAACTTTAATTCCATCAAGGTAAGAGGAAGCTCTTCCCTTCCTGTCTGAGCGATCCGTCTCCAGGTTTCCTCGTCCGGCGTCCAGCCCGCTGGCGTCCACCTTCATCTCACCTTCATCTCATCTCACTTCATTTATAGTGCAATACTTTCACATTATCATTTTCCCACACTTCTGTATACCTGTATTTTGTTGTTTTTCAATAAAGAATGACAAATTATTTAAGTTTGGTTTTTGTTGCACACAAATATATATCTGTAAAAAATATCTTCAAAGCTAATGTTTACATAACAAGTATGATTGGGTTTTGCAATACGGCACTCAAGTTTATTTTAGTAAGATTTTCAAACCAAGTAAAGTTAGTAAAGAACACATTTCTATTGTCTGCTAAGAAACTGTTGGGATTTAAAATGGGCCTGTTGTACAAATAACTTGTAAATGATTATTCCTCACTTTTGTCTTAACCAAAGAAATTCCAGTAATTGAGCAAAAACATTTATTTTTAACACTACATTTTATAAAACAGGGCACAGTGTCGGCACATGTATGTATGTCGATGGTCCGCCCCAACCGAACCAGGAGACACAGACGTCAGGGAGGCCAAGGTTGTCTCTGCAGCTCTCTGGGCACCACGCCTCACTCAGCTGTCCCCAATGATCCAAATGGCTATGGAGGAAAAAAAATTTAATAAAAGAATGAAACTTAAAAACTCCCAAACCTCATGTCATATTTACTAATCAGCTATGGCTGATTTATTGTTTGGATCACAGTGAGTTACACTAATTCTAATATATTTTTATTTCTATTATACATACATACTTTTTAACTGTTATTTTCACATGACTGTTATCAGGCTCTTGTTCTGGTTCTGATGATAACTCTGTGTCTTCCAGTAAGTTATCTTGTGCTTACTTCATCTGT